CTGATTACCACTTGAAAACTCAGTGCTGATTGGCCAATGCATTGAAGTTTAACAACATGGCTTATTTCATCCCTTGGACTCTTCACGCTAAAATAATAAAGGCATGATTTAGCAGGGGAGAATTTACTTTTGTCAAGCATACATCAACAGCGTGACAAGCACAAGTCTGTTCAGTGTATCCATCTCCCAAAAATGTTTTCACAGACTGAGGATTAGGATCAAAAGCAAATTAATTCCAATTGGAAACTTATCCATGTGGAGAGAAGTACTTGTAGATTTACTTGGCAAATGAGATGAAATAGAAGAACAAACTGTAAAATTGTTGGCAACAGTCAATTCAACTTCGTCGATTCATGTCAATATCGACCAGCAAGTGTGTGTTGCAATAGAATTTGAAATTTCTATAAATCTCTTCATAGAATAAATGTTGATAGTAATTGTATTCATGGTTTAACATGTTATGTTTTAGGTAATAACAGAACTAGTGGTATTTCCAAAATATTTTTTGACAACCAATTTGACAAAAAAAATTTACCTACCTTCTTTCCCACATTTTATATTAATATAGGGTTACAGCAAACAAAATATTTTTAAACCTGGCCTAGGTGTATCTGGTTATTTCTCATGGCATGTGCAAGGTTTTGTACATTTTCCAGAAAAAAAGAATAGCAAAAATTGGCTTTGAGACTCTTATTGTGTGTTGACACTTCACTTATACTGTTCACTGATTTTAGCTGAATGGAACATGAAAAAAGTGACGTAACTATACACTAGTGTAAGTATAGTAACAGCTTGAAAAACCTCTGTGTGATTAAATGTCACATTCTCTACACAAGACAGTCATGTTTAGTTCTATATGGTTAGAAGTCACCTGATGGGGGATAACAATATGATATAAGTTGATTTATTTTTTCTGGGTGGGAAAAACAACATTATCTTAAGTTATATCAAGATATACAGATTAATACTGGTCTTGATTCATAATGTGTATAAGTTACACCATCTTAGTTTAATCTTGTAAAAGTTATAGTAGAAAATTAATTTATTACATAATATGCATCCTGAAGTCGTTCCTTTTTTATTGCCGTGTCATCAAGAAGCTGTCGCCAGAGAGCCTCCAGCTCAGCTAATTGTGTCTGGATCTCCATGGAAGCAAAATGTCCTTCACCAATTAACTGTTCCCCTTCTTGGGTGACAGAATCTACTCGTCCTTTATTGGCTGTTAGCTCTGCCTCAAATGCTGCATGTTTCTGTATCTTGCTAAGCAGGTTTGTGGTATCACGGTACGATTCGTCTGTAGCAAGCTGGATCTTTTCATTGATCCATTTCACAACCTAATAATTCATTAAAAAGGTAAAAACATCAGGATGTCTTTTTTATTGTGAACTGTTTATATGTTTGTTTAATATGAAGTGCTATGCAGATGTTCAAAATTATAAAAGTAAGAAATTAATAACTTTTTAACATAAATATCTGATACAAGAGAATGACTAAAGGACAAAAAATTATAAACCACATTATCTTAATAACATACTTTACAGATAGATGAAGTTTCTTCATGTGCAAAAATTTTGCATCTTAAATTTAGAGACATATTAACTACAAATACTACATCTTGAATGTATTCAATTCTGTAAACAACTAATAAAAACGCATTTATTTAAAAATTCTTTATCTAGGGTGCATTGTTTAGTGTATTTCTGAATAACTTGAAAGTTATAATAAAAACACAAAAGACTGATATTACCTCATAGATATTTTGTAAAAATTGCTGTAGGTTTTTTGACTCTTCAAGCTTTTTGCGTCTAACCATTGCATTTTCTTTGAGTCGATCTCGCCGTTGACAGATGGCTTGACTTCTGGCCTGGATAGTAACCGAGCTGTAGTGCTTGTTAGCAATTAGTTCAGTAGCATACTTCTCTAAATGATCAACTTTATTGCTTTGAGCAATCATTGTCTTCTCAAAATTATCATGTTTTCTGATCAAAACTTCAACACTACACATGGAATCCTGGAGAATCAGATAAAAATGAAAAGTCTAATGTTTTCACACTAAAAGATTTATTGTACTACAAACACAAGAAATTTTCATGAATGTTCCTAAATATTCAACAATGTGACATGCTCTGGCTATTATGAAACAAAAGATATTTTGCTGTTAATTATTACATCCTTTTTTTACAATATTTAGTTGATTATGTTCAAAGGTATTTGTAGTTACTTGCAGTTGGGCTTATGCTACACTTATAATTGAAAATATTGAAAATGATAGCAGTTTGCTTTGTGAATAAACTTACATCAAAATGATTCTCTACACAAGACAGTCATGTTTAGGTAATTATTGGGTTTCTTTTTTTGGAGTTGGAGGTGTATCTAAATCACTGACCACCATTATTACGAATTTGTGCAAAAAAAAATCTTAACTATAATCAGGTCAGCTTGGCAAACTTTTAAACAGTGACTGTGCCAGAAATAGTTGGCTATGTTACAAGAAATACTAGCTGTTTGAAAATTATTTTTAACAAAGTATTATCTTAAAATATGTTTTATTCATATAATATATATAAAAACAGATCGCAAAAAAATTCAATTTGTTTCCAAAGTGCAGGTAAAAACATCCTAAGTCATTTAAATACAAAATATGCAGGGAAAATGAATAACCTCTTATTTAATATAATGGTATTTTTTTGTATATACATTGTACCATCATATTTTAGCATGAATATTGCAATCAATATGCCCAACTTGTACTGATTAACATCTCTGACCACTAGAATTACTAGCTAAAAAATAGCTTCCTGCTACTTATAGAAATAATTTAAATCAGAGGCAATATATTTGCAACAGTTATTTTAGTGATTAGCCTACTTCACCAATACACAGAATAACTGTTCTGTACAATACAGTGTCATCTTTGTTCAAGCTTTACAAATATATTATACTTTAGGTTTTTCTTACTCATCCTCAAACTCAAGACCATTACAATATGTAGGAACTGGTCAACTTAAAAACCACTGGAAATCTACAGATAGTACTTGCTAACTGTATGTTACGTAACTTATCAATAAGCATGATTATACCTGATGCTTCTTCAGAAGGTTCTGAACGGAAGTCAAGTCTTTCCCATGGTCTTCTGACTGTAACTGATTCTCACAGTCATCCATCCAAGCATCCAAGTCATCTAACATCCTGTTAAACTGGAGTGCCTGGTAAAATTACAAAAATGTTAAACTTGCACCTAACAAAAGTTTGAGATGTATACAATTTATCTGCCTATGAAAAATTCTTAATTTTGCCATGACTGATAGAAGAAAAACTGTAGTGTTGACAAATTTTTCTTACAATTTCAAACTACAAACCAAAAAATAAACTATGTATAAAGAAAATATTGTAACAGTGAAAACTTAATGGACCATATTACATGGACAAAGAATGGCAAGATCCTAATCCTTTTTTACCTCCCATTACTTTTTGATCTATACTGTACATTTCTTATATTTGAATTGTGTTGGAAGTCACTCTGAAACAAATAGTCAATCACTTCATAAACTACACTTACATCAGTCATTCTTTGGATTACATTTTTTTCCTTCTGTAGCTGATAAAATTTGAGATATATATATGTATCTGTGTGTGTGTGTGTGTGTGTGTCCATGCACAAAATGTTCACTAATGTTGCAAAACATACAAAATGCAATATGTTCAGACCACTATGAAACAAAAGATATTTTGCTGTTAACCATCAAAATTGTTTACACTACTTGTAAATTTTATATTAAAAGCTGTTTGTAAATATTTATAACTCTGTGTCTTGGATGAAAATACAGCATTCGCTTTAGTTGTGTGACCTCTGGTTTTGTGTGTTCCACAATGCCACCTCTACCTCTGTGAGAAACCATAAACTTGAGCCATTCTGATTTTTTGGTTTTCAACTGTATAATATAACATTTAATAGATAGAATATTGATCGGGATAAAAGGAAATACATATCTTGTCATTAAAAGTGTTAAAGAAAAGAAACAGATAAGCAATGAGTTAAAGATTGTCATATTCTATATAAGCAGGCAATTTTTAAAACATGATGTAAGCCAAAGGTAGTTTTAAAAAGTTCTAGTACAGAGTCAACATACCTGATGTTTCTTTTGAAGGTTTTGTACCAAAGAAAGACTGGTACCCAATTCTGTAGATGAAGCTAAAGGTTCTTTTTCACTTATCCAGGACAGTTCATCTTCAACATCTCTAAGAAATTGTTGTAGCATCAAGGCATCTTCAAGATTTTCTCGTCGAATCTGGGTTGGCTCATGTAAAGATTCATAGCTGTTGGAATAATATCAAAATTAGAAAAGCATGCACAAAGGTACAATATCTTCTGTGACACAAACTTATGTTTATTTGAGGAATAACTTGAAATTTCTTCTGTGTGTATGGGAGGGGGGGGAATACACTCATAGCTGTTCACAGATATAATGTGGGTAACAAATATGGCTTTTGTTTCTTAGAGTTACTTCAAAACAGCAATATATTCTACTAAGTGATTATTGTTTTTTACTAGTATCTTAAAATGTCAAAGCTACAAAGATCACCTGGAGCCATTCTATACACTTTTTATTGAATTAAAGAAATAAAGTGAACACAACTCCTTTCATAATTTCATATAATGACTATATTATGATTTCAAACTAATCTGTGTCAGTAATTCGTGTTATTTTTTATTTGTGTGTACATAAATCCTTACTAGATGCAATACACACAAATAAAAAATGACATGTAATAAAACTAAATTAAGCATATCCACAAAATCACTTACTCAAAAGTTTAAATCCTGCCTGTATACAAGAAACAAAGTTTTGATTCTGAGACAAGAAATCTTAACTTACCGATTAATAATTGCCGTTGATCGATCATTAATCTCATCTTTCATAAAGTGATTGTTGTTACCAAAGTTGGCTGCTTGATCCTTTACTTGTTCAATGTTTTCTATGTGATTATTGATGTCAGCTTCAAGAAGCTACATAAATATATATATACATATATTGTCACACACACATAAGATGATCAAAGTATTAAGCTACACATTAAATTAAAACAATTTAACTGTTATATTTATTTCAAAGAATTAGCATTAAAACACAGTTGAGTTTGGAAAGTTAGCTTGAGACATCTGGTATGACTAATAGACTGAATACTAAGAAAGTAGCTTTAGTAGTCTTCCAGTATGTTTTAGTAGTTTCTTAGTGCCAAGAGCTGTGAAAACAATAACAGATTCAATTGCAGAACTTGTGCTTGTTACTGTATTTCTTAACCATGTTCAAATGCTGTAATTTAAGTACCTATTAAATTAAGAATATGAAATTTAAAAAACAATGTCATTACATATAGTCACAACTATTATATTTTTATGAATTGTAAAATTCAGTAAAGAGGTGTGTGCTGTGGACATGACAGTGTTACAAGAGAGCAGTTGGCAGATAGAACATGACCAGATATGGATGGCTACATGGCAAGTAATGGCATCGTAAAACTCCAAAATAAATCGTTTGAATATAGCATACTCAACCTCAGTATACTTGAAAATTACACATCTATTCTATAATGAAGGTGTTTCCCTTTGAAATATGACCATCACAGTGCTGAGCATTTACAAAACATTACTATTATGTTACTGTTGTTTAATTTTGATATACAAAAGCAAGCTAAGTTAAAATAATATTGTAATCAGTATTTATATTTACATCTGCATGTATAATAAAAAAAAATACCAGACAGAAATTCTTTAAAAATTCAGATTTTTTCATTTAATAATCTCTGGTCTTTATGTCTGGCTTTCTATCTGTAGTTTAGTTTATTTTCAATTTGCATTGGTACATTTTGTTTCAAAACTTAATGATAGTGGTTCTCTTAGTAAATCATATTCATGAAAGAAATTTTCTTACACTACACTTTTACCTGTGTCATATATGTGAACTTTCTTTGTGAACTTCCTTCAAGTATTTTTATTACATCAGGCTCTAATAAGATTAATCCTACCCTTAGAAAGTCAAGAAAGCTTAAATGTCGATGATAAATTAAATACTTTTTATATAGAGGCCCACATCTTATATATAGTGTTGAATAATCTCTGTTGCATCAATTTCAAAGTAGAATTATTTTTTAAACATTTCTACAAATTATACATTCTCATTCTGCCCCTGATGAAGAAAGGTTCACTTTTCGAAAGCACTTAGGTTATAAGGTTTTGTGTTAAATTGATTTTTTGAGCCTACATGTTTCCTAACATCATGAATATGTTATGTTTTATATATTATAGCTTGCCCTGTTTCTAAGACACACGAATTAAAAGTCTGCTTTATATTTTGTGATTAATGATGAAAGTCATAATTAACAAAAAACAAGAAAGCAATTAATGTTAGTTATAATTAACATATCTTGTTACTTTAAGGTTTATGTTCATAGCAGATATTTTAATTGTAACAATTCTTGAATTTCTTAGGCATTGGAGGCAGAAATCCATGCTCACGAACCACTAGTTTCTGCTGTAACCAGTAAAGGCCGTCACATGATTCGCAGCAGCCATTTTGCTGCAAAAGATATTGAGGCTAAACTGCAAGATTTACAGTCACAACTTCATCATCTGAAAGACTTGGCTAGTATTCGTAGACTGCGCCTTCAAGATGCTGTGGAATCCCAAATGGTATATATGTATATATATCAATTGTTTCTATACAATTTAAGTTTATTTCTATACAGTTTAGGAAGCAGAAAAAGAAGATTTATTTTTAAAAACTAAAAATCTAAAATTGAAGATGAAATGAATAGCAGAAGTATATCAAACTCTAACATTTCTAAGCACAGACTAACTATATAAAATATAGATTTTAAGTCAAGTACTTAGGAGTACACAGTATTAAGTCTAAGCTAAAATAAAATATTCCACTGAAACGTAAGAATGAACTTAGTGACTGAAGGTAATTGAAGATTTGAATTCACTCCTCTATCCAATATAACAAGCAGTTAAATCACCCAGCTCACTCTTTATTTAAATGTAGTTCTTTGCATCTTATATAACTAGCCAACAGAGTTATAAGTAAATTTAAACCAAAATAAAGAGCATATCATCAGACAAACCATTTTAATATTTTGTAATTCTTATAAAGAAGAGATTCTGATAAATAATGCAATTCAGCTCTTGGTTGTGAAAGATTATACTTGCTACCACTAGTAGTCAGGCATTCAAACCTTATCATTATGCCACTTAAGTAAATTTTCTGTAGTTATTTTATCCAAATAAAATAATTCAAAGAATTTAAAGCTTATTTTTAAACTTGAAGATTTTTAAACCAATATCCATTGTGTAGTAAGTGAATGAGTTCTTTAAATCAGTGTTTCTCAACCACCAGTCTGTCCCAGCCACCTTGCCTTTGGTATTTCACAAAAACAAACGAAAATAGTCAGAATATTCATATGTAAATCATAATGCTTTTGTTTTCCTTGTGTTTTGGTAGTCTGCGACAGCTTAGGAAGGCAGCAAGCAAGTTTCTGGTATCAAAAAAATTGCGAATCACTGCTTTAAATGATGCTTTGAAGTTGGTTAATAAATTGCATAATTACTGAAATACTGTAGAATTAGAAACACATTTTAAATTATGTTTTAGTTTTATGAAAGGAAGTATGGTGATGGAAATAAAAATTTAGAAAATGATTTGGTGTGAAGTTAAACTATTAATTAAGCTTAATTTGATTGATGTGTTTTTGGCCAACAGAGGCCATATTTTAATTCTTATAACTTTTTATGGTTCTATTTGTTGGTCATGTTTTTCTAGTCCATCTACATTATTTTATAAGTTTGAACTTGCCATTGTCTTGGATTTATAGTTTCTGTAAAACATTATCTATTTCACCTTTTCTATTTCTTGTCCTTCAGTTTTACACTGAAGCTAGTGAAGCAGAAGCCTGGATAAGGGAGAAGAAACCTCTTCTCACAAATCCAGATTTGGGGAAAGATGAAGACTCTGTGCAGGTAGTAATTGAAATTAAGTAGTTATTTATTTCTTGATAATCTTGCATGAAGTTGAATGTGTATGTATAAATATTTGTGCACTATAAGAACTGTATTGATTCCTATTTTACATCATCATTATTCCTGGAAGTTTATTTTTTATATGGTTTGATGTCGTTGTTTCAGAGTGATGAGTATTATTACAGACACAAATAAGTGTTTAAAACAGTGTTATATTAAAATTTCTGAATTATTTTAGTTAAAACATTTATGGGACATGTATTTGTATAAAAGGTAAAGATTGGTTTCAGATGTGATATTTGTATTCATATCATACTAATTGTTAACATTAAAGAACAACAAAGGACCTTTTGGTCCTTCTAGGTTGTATGATCCCCTAAATTAAACTGAATGCTAAAAACTCAAAGCCAGCCTTTGTCATTCAAATATTTATCAGACTTTCTCCTAAACATCTTTAAATTAACTGCATATACCACATCTGTTAGAAAAATAAAACTGTCTTAACTAAAGATGACTCCTACCTTGTCAACATATATATACTTTTGTCCCCCCTTGTCATACCATTTTTACTATTAAATATGAAAAAAGATGATGCACAGACACTATCAATTTGCTTAGAAATTTTAAACACCTCAATTAGATTCTCGTTAAATATTTTTTTCAAGAAAAAAAAATGTCAAAGATCTTAACATCCTCTCATATGACAACCCCTCCATCTTAGGCACCATTCTAGTAGCCCTTCTCTCAACCTTTTCCAACAATTCAATGCCCTTTCTAATGTGAGAAGTCCATGGCTGAACATAATACTCCAAATGTGGCCTTGGAAGTGACCTATACAATGACATTATAACCTCTTTAGACTTGTATTCAATATTTCTGTAAATACAACCTAAGTTCTTCTAGCAACACCACATTGCTTGGGTGGCTTAAGAAACTGATGAACCAAAACACCAAGATCTTTTTCTTCTAGAACACTGTTAAGGTTATTCCTATCAAAATTATAATCATAATTCAAATTGTGATATCCCATATGCAAAGAATGTCAAAAGATTAGTGAGGCACAATTTTCCACTAGTGAAATTCCTCTGACTATCCCACAAAAATTTAAATTTTGTTAAATGACTTTGCAAAGCATCTTTTATCAGACTTTCTAGAATGTTTCCCATCACTGATGTTAAACTAATAGGCCTATAATTACTGGAACAGTTTTATCACCTCCTTTGAAAAGAGGAGTAACATTATTCAATTTCCAATCTTTTGGCACTATTCAAGGATGTAGAAAAAATAGAAGCAAGTGAACTCGTGTATCCTGTCATCAACTTTTTTCAAAACTCTTGTGTAAATATTATCAGGCTCCAGAGTTTTGTCATTCTTTAAACTTTTAAATTTGTTCTTATCAAACTCAGGATTAATGTAACCATCATGTTCAATCTCATTTCCATCTAGCATCTAGAATGAGGAATATTGCTGAAATCTTCATTTGTAAGAACTGAAGAAAAAGTTGAATTTAATGGCATAGCCATCTCATAATCATCCTTCCTGTATCATCCCTCAAGGGCCCTATTCCCATCCTAACATTTTGCTTACCCTTAATGTACTTAAATAAATCCTTATGATTAATTTTTACATTTTTAGCCAAACTTTTTATATACTCTTTTTGATTTCTTACTTTACTATTATGACCAACTCTCTTGATGTTTTATAACCCTCCAAATCTATCTCTACAGTCAGTTTAAACATCGTATAATGCTTTAATATTATTCTTTATATCTTTTGTGAACCAACCTTGTTTTTTACTTGCAGGTACCCTTTTTTGTCTATAAGGAACGTGCCTATCATAAACATTTATATCCAACTAATTCAGTTGGCTCATTTTATAGCAGATACGTTTTTGTCTCATCTCTTTTTTTGGCATTTTTTGAAATCTGGAAGCAAAATCTCATTATTCCATATTTCCATATGCAACAAAACATCAAGTCTAATTGAGCAATGATCGTTTGCATTCATATACTCCCAATCTCTACCCTATCAACCATTTCTTTATTAGAAGTTAATAATAAATCTAAATTTATAATGTTCCTAGTAGGTTTTCTAACCAATTGTTTGAGAAAACCATCCTGAACAATTTGTAAAACTTTGCTCCCTCATTATTTTACTTTAACATTTCCCAATCTTTATGCCTAAAATTAAAATCTCCCATAATTATAACCTTATTAGTAGTTAAATCTTTTATCTCCTTATAGAGTTTTTTGTTAATGTTAATATTTTCCAACAAAATGTATTTCCAATAGATACTTACCTCTCATATTAGCTTTTCACAAATTTGTGTGCTGCCTTCTACATACACAGTTTTTCATTCACTGCTAGCGGCTCAGCATGGCCAGGTGGTTAGGGCGCTCAACTCACAATCTGAGGGTCACAGGTTTGAATCCCCATCCCACCAAACATGCTCACCCTTTCAGCCATGGGGGCATAATAAGTGACGGTCAATCACACTATTCGTTGGTAAAAGAATATTTAACAATGTACCTATTTTCTAACACTTAAGAAAATCAAATGCCAGTGCCTTGAA